GCAAGGGTTTTGATTTTATGTCCACTGCCTGGGTTTCATCAGACAGTAAGCTGTCACTGTGTTGTGTTTGCTCTGCTATCATGCCGATTTAAATTGCTAGAAATTCACTTTAAAATAGTCTCTTCACAGGAACTGTGTTAATTCTTCTTGGGAAGAGATAATTTAAAGCTTTCTCTGCAATGAGGTGGGGAAAGCAGGGGTGCATAATTTTGAATCAAACCTCTGTGGCTGTTCTGTAGAGTCCAGGAAATTTTGACAGTATGGAGGATTAAAATAGCATCGGCTCCGTGGGTGCAGGTCTGGGCTGCCTGCTTCCCTGGGGAGAGCAGGGCGGCCAGGCTCTGCTGAAGGACAAGCAGTGTGGTGCTCCGGGAGGGTGATGGGAGCTGGGGCCAGCAGAAAAAACAGAAGTGCTCTTCATGTACAACTTATTTTAGAGATGAACCCGAGTGAGCTGGACATGTTGTTTTAAAAATGTTTTACGACTCAGACTGCTGGGCCTGAGGAAGGGTCTGGTCTTACCTCTGCCTCCCACCGCCTCCCTGCCCCAGGGAGAGGCGATGCCTGCACTCCTTCTGAGCCAGGCAAAGCTGAATTTGGTGCAGAAGTAAATAAAAGCCCAGACGGCATCCAGCGCAGTGTTTGCAACTCTGGGTGTGACAGGGCTGCTGCCCTTGCCAGGACATGGACTTTGCATGAAAAATAGCTGAAGCAAAACGCCCTTGCTTGCCAGTCAGTGCTGTGCTGCCCTGCCACTCTGCTCGCCCTGCTCTGCTCTCACGCCTTGGCTTGCTGCTGTCTGACGAGCCTCTGTCCAGTGCCAGCCTGACAGACTGCCGCAAAAGAGCAAACAGATTCCTAACTACTAGAAGCAGTGAATAAATTGTCAAGCTGATCAATGCCACCAGCTGCCTGCCTGCACGTAATTGGTAAGCAGTGGCTCCTGCATCAGCATGTCCATCAGGGTTCAGCGGGAAAGCGTACATTACATTGATGCAGTCATTGAGCAAGCTCGGTGGTGGGTATGACCCTGAAGAAAGGCACAGGTGATTGCTGAGCCTGAATAAGGGTCCGGCTGGGCTGCGCTCAGAGTGTCTTCAAGGCAACGAGTTGATTACTCACTTATGAATCAAATTTCTTGTGTTCCTGGGAGAGCAGGAGAGCTCAGGCTGCTGTCAGCCCAGGCCCGCAGAGCCGCAGGCTGCACACAGCCACCTGTGCCCGGGGTGGGATGGCTGGGGTCAGCTTGCGTTAGGAGCAACTAGAGGTGTGTGTGATTCTGGGGGAAGCCAGGGGCTGCGAGGTTTGCTCTGCAAGTCAGGGATGCAGTAAGTCAGGGATGCAGTGTTCCACTGGCTTGTTTCAGACCAGAAACCTGCCGTCAAGTTGAGAAGCAGAAGCCGGCCGCCTCTGATGGTCGGTGCTTGCAGGGTACCAGTTCAAAGTCAACAGCTGCTCCTCTCCTTCCGTGGCTCATGTTCTGACTCTCTCGTTTGGGCTCACATCCTCAGGACACGCACACATCCCTCTGCTCGGAGGATGACAGATCTGCGGCAGCGCTGATTAGAAAGGTCAGAGCCTCTCAGTGCAGTAAAACACTCCTAATGGCATTTTTCAATTCTGCTCCAAAGAAAGCTTTTTCTGCCCTGTTCTTCAGGGATGGCTCTGCGCTGGTAGGATGGAGGAGGAGCGCCTTTTCTTTTCTTGGCAAACTTCTTTTAACCATTCTTGTTTTAAGTCTCTCAGCATCTGCATACGCAGTGATCTCGTCATCCCTGTCTGTGGTACAAAAATAGTCTCTTTGTAGAACGACTTCAGCCTTGTTCAAAAATGATATCCAGAATTTCCAGTTTCTGGCACCTTCTAAAGCACTGGTCAAGGTGAAACGGGCCCCCCCCCCACGCCCCGGCAGCCAGAGAAGCGGCTCTGCCTCCCACACCCGGCTGCCTCCGTCACCCTCGCGCCCTTTGGGCTCTGGCCCACTGGGTGCTGGGTCCCTCCAAAACAGCCCCTTGGGGTGGGAGCAGAAGGTGAAGCCTGAAATGCTGCCATGAGGCATCGGTTCCCCCCGAGCAGAGGGTCCCTGCTCATGGGGCTGGGATGCTGAGGGAGCGGTTTGGAAACCTGTGGCCGTTCCTGTGCCAGCACGCTCTTGCCGCCGCAGCACTGCTCGTTGCATGCTTTTCTTTTCTACTTCTGGCTTTTTTTGAACTCCCAGTGGGAATTTAAAATCCTTCGCATGAAGTGGAAATTGTCTCATTTTGCACTAAGCTTGTGTTTTTTATGAATGACTAAAGCTTTCATTTGCCTAAACAGGAATATCTGTTTCTAGAAGGGAACGCAGAAACTGGAGCACTCGGGGGCGATTCCTCCCTGTGTCACACGCTGGGGTTTGACTGGCACGTGGCTTCTGCTAGAGCTGCCCCCGTGCTGCCTCTCCAGCCCTGGTCCTGCTGCTGATGGAGGGTCAGTGGTGGCGGGGGCAGGGCCCGGGATCCCCGGGGGTGGCCCTCCCCGGCCGATGCCCGGGCATCCCTGGGGTTGCCCTCCCCTGCCGCGTGGTGTGGGTGGAGGGTGTGGGTGCTGTGCCCAGGGGGCTCTGCAGGATGCGTGGGTTGGTGTCCGGCTGGCCAGAGACCTCTTTTTTTCCTGGGATGGTGGCAAGAGGAAGCTTTTCATTTTCTTGGGTGCCCCATCTCCAGGGAGGTAGCCCAAGCCGTTCCTGCACATGTACTGTGGGCCTGTGGGCACTGCCCCTGTCCCTGCAGGCATTTGGCTGCCAGGGCTGGTCCCTGGGAGATGCAGGGAGCTGGTTCACGCCGATTAAAGAGCTCTGTGTTGTACAGGCAAAGCTGCTTACGGAGATGGTCCTGAGCTGCTGTACAAACAGAGCTTGGGTTATAGAATCAAGCAGGGTAAGTTTTCAAGGGCTTACAACATGTCCAGTGGAAGGATCTGATGAAACCTGTAAGCCTCTTTGAAAGGTGTATGTTTATCATGGTGTTCGTTTGCGCTTTGGGCAGCATGCTGGGTGTTACCCTGCCTGCAGCACCATGCCTGCCATCGGCTGCCCGGCTCAAGCCACAGCTGCCTGCGGTCTGCCTGCCCAAAGCGCTCACGGGGGGATTTCCCCCCCCACCTCCTCTTCTAGCATAAAATCCAGGTTTAAGTTTTCTGTGCTCTCACATCTCTGGGGAATGCAAAAGGCTTTCAAGTGCACACCGTCACTTAATCAACTATCTTTTTCGTAACAGAAGACACGTTAATCATGAACCCTTGTCCTCTCAGGCTTCCTGTGACACAGCTGACACATGAGCTACCAGACAGAGGCACGTTGCACTCTGTAATCTGGAAGTGGTTTGCTTAGGGTTAAATGTGAGATATTTTCAGTTTCAAGTACAACAGATTTGCTGAAGCATGTACCTAATCCCTTGCACATAACAGAATTAAACGAAGCTTCATTACTTTTCCACCTTTCTGGTATCACTCAAGTTATCTGGGATGCCGTGATAGTGATACAGTGTTAGTGATTAATGCAACTGAAAGATTCTATGCAATAGTGGTAAGAAAATTAATTTTGGGGGAAGGTAATGTATTGGCAGCTATGTTATAGCTCGGTTCTGACTCCACTCTTCATTTATTTACTTAGCTTACAGTGCCCTGAAAAGGTGTCTTTCCTAATGCCCGGGCACTCTTCCAGGCCATTAAAAAGCCAGGCAGCTCAAATGACCAAGCCAGGAGCTATGCCTCATCCCTAACCCGTAAACAATTAACCTGAGATGAAATTAAGCCAGTTGCTACTTGCCATAGTCTTCCCCCTTGTGTGTGTGCTGCTACTGAGCGTGCTGAGCATCTGGGCAGGCTGCCCCAGCACCCTCCTGTGCAAAGCCATGCTGCTTCGGGCTCTCCTTGCAGGAACAACGCTGCCCACCCCAGCACTGGCCTTGGCTCTGCCCCGCTGTGCCGTGGTCCCCGCCTGGTCCCGGTGGTGACATCCCTGCCCCTCCACTGGGGTTTCTGCAGCTCCCGGGGCAGGGCAGTGAGTAGCAGGCTGCTGCTGGGGCTCTGCATTTGCTGCCCCAGCTTCTCCAGTAACCACAGCAACTTAAACCAATGCTGTCTGTGCTGCTTTGGGGCCAGTAGGAAATGTTCTGTTGCTTAGTCCTGTCTCCTGTGTAGCTTTATGTTGTCTTAAAGTTGCTCTGCATTGGGCTGAATAACTGAGGTTTGATCAGGGCTTCCAGAATTGTCTTGCCTTGCATGGAGAAGGTACCGAGAAATACCAAATCCTTGGACTGCCTCAGTCATTTGTTCCAGTGGTTGATCCTATCTCCCTGTTGAGAAGTTGTTTCTCATTTGAATTTGTCTGGCTTTAACTTCTGTAGGCCCTTGCTGGAGTCCAGGAGCCCTGTTTGCAAGGTGCCTGTGCGAGACGGCAAACAGTGTCCGGGGTAAACTGGGCTCTCTTGGTTTCGCATGCTCTGCTGTTGCAGAACAGTGTGCTGTTGGTTTTAAGAAAGCTCGAAATATTAAAGTATATCCTGAGCGGCTTGATTCCCTAGGAGTGTGCTGGGGAGGGGTTGGCACCAGAGCACAAAGATGTTTACTGGGTAGTCTTAATATAGATGGAAATCATGGGTGTTTTTTCCTGCTTTACCCCACTGGGTTGACGTGGAAGTTGAGTAGTGTCCAGCCCTTATGTTGGTTCTTATGTACCAATTTCACCTGGTGGTTTCTCTGCTAAGACCAAGTTATTTAAAAACGATAAATCCCCAGACTAGCCAATGCGTTGCTTTTTCATTGTTATGGCAACACATATAAAAAGTAATAAAGCTGGATCTTGGCGACTCTTGGAAAAGGTCCACATCAGTCGGTGGCAGTTGACTGAAGTCCATTAACAGCACCTCCGAAGCCAGCTGGCATGTGAAATGCGGAGAGCGGTGGTGCCTTGCCAATATTTGATGCAAGTTTATAATCTTTACCTTGTATTTTCCTCCTAGGATCCCCGGAGCAAACACAAATTTAAAATCCACACGTACTCCAGCCCCACCTTCTGTGACCACTGCGGGTCGTTGCTGTACGGGCTCATTCACCAGGGGATGAAATGTGACAGTAAGTGACGTAACCGGTGGCTGCGGTTGCAGCGGTGGGGGGCTCTGGCACCCTGAGATCCTGGGCAGGGGCTCTCAGCCTGCCTGATCTGTGGCCAGGAGCCTGTCCCCTCCGCCACCGGTGTGGAGCATGCTGCTGGTACCCGAGGGGCTGGACACGAGTGGGCACCTTCTCACCTCTTGTGGGGAGCCCCCGTGAGTCCTGTAGGGAGAGGGGAGGGAAAGGCACCCAGCCGGGGGGGATCCCGCCTGCATCCCCCCTGCAGCATCACCCTCATCCCCCCTGCAGCATCATCTCCAGTTCTCGGTTCTCTGCAGCGCTAGCTCCGACTGACACCCTGTGGCCGTGGCAGTGCCTGCTGCGGTGGCACAGCCTCTCCAGAGCCCTTGGCTCTGCGCAAGCCTGACCTCGGGCACAGGAGTACTTGGGGAATTATTGTACAGAGAGGAGAAAATGGGGGATGAAAGAAGAGGGAGGGGATGGAGAGAGAGATCAGTTATTTTCCAAGTTAATCTCGTACGTTCCTATTTAAAAGGACGGTGAATATACAGCGTCTGCTTACATGCTTACGCCGCCTGCGGGGAACAGCATCCTCTGCTGCTCACCATGTGCTGGCTTTCTCATAAATATAGAAGCTTGCCGACTGTTGTGGGAACAGCGTATTCATTATCACCTTTAAAATGTTACCGAGTGGAAATGAATTTAAAATATAAATTTATATAGATATATATTTATATATTTTAGATATAAAAATTTTTATACATGTATATATGTATACACATACGCAAGTAATTTTTAATGCCCCTTATCAGCTCCTGGTGCATCTGCTTGAATACCCAGCATTGCACCATGGGTGTGACGGAAGAGAAGTTTGATAAATCAGCAGAACTCAAGCAATTAGAGTAAGGGCTAAAAGCCGTGTAATCTCTGTAGGCAAGACCCAGAACTGCTGGTGGTGGCAGGTCCCTGTGTCCATGCAGGGCTCTGTCAGAGTCTCTGGCTGCATTTGAAGGTCCATTTTCTGCATGTTTATCCCAGAATCCCTCACAAACATACCCATTTAAATGGAGGGCAAGTTCTTCCCCCCCCGTCCCCGCTGAACACCCCATGAACTTTGGCAGAGGTGACAGGAGTGCTGAGTGTCGCTTTCTTTCTCTCTGCCCCGCAGCCTGTATGATGAACGTGCACAAGCGCTGCGTGATGAACGTCCCCAGTCTGTGTGGGACGGACCACACCGAGCGTCGGGGACGGATATACATCAGGGCTGACATCGAGAAGGATGTGCTCACCGTCGTAGGTAGGTGTGCGACCCAGGTACAAACCCCGCACGCGGGGTCGCCCGGTTGCCCCTCGCTGCTGGCGTGTGCCGTGCCAACAGCAGTGCCGGCTGCGGCGGGGGCCGGGGGGGGGGGACCAGCAGCCAGCGTCTGGCTGGTCAGGAGTGGTGCCTGGCAAGGCAGGACAAGGCTTTGAGCCTTCTCTGGGCACGCTCCTGCCCTCTGGCTAGCACTGGCTGGGGCTCCAGGGGCTATCTGTACTAAATAGCTTTTCCAGTTACAGACTTTTCGAACTGTTTTTTGAATCATGTAAAATTCAGCATCCACAGCATGCTGGGAAGGGGTGGCAGAAAGTTCCTCTGTTTAGCTACGCTGTGTGAAAAAGTATGTTGTTTGCATTGTGCTGTCCCTGTGATGAACATCCATTCCCTGCTGTTCTTTCCATGCCTTTAATGGTACCTGGGCCAGTACAGATCTTGGTGGGAATCTTGGATGGTCCTTTTATTTAACTGGAGCTTTGCAACCTCCTTCTGCCAGTTTGGAGACTCCACAGCCTCCCCCTCTATCTGAGGCACGTGCTGCCTTCCCCTTGGTGCTCAGAGGCTGCTGGGGCAGGCTGTCCCTGTGGTGTGGTTACACACCGGGGGGCACAGAGGGACATCAGCCCCTCCACACTGCCGTGGTGAAGATAACCGTCGTTCTTCACATTTCCTTGCAGTTTCCCAGCCCCGATGGAGAGCTGCGGCACGGTGTAGCACTCGCAGGTCAGGCTGCTGCAGCGCTCTGCAGGGTGCCCTGAGTGGGGCTGGTGTGGATCCGTGGGCTGCGTGGATCTGACTACCCCAGCGATGGGTGGTGGGCAGGAGCCATCCCACGCGGGCGCGTCCCCAGGAGAGGTGCAGAGTGGCAATGCCATCTCTCAGTGTCTGGCTCTGGGGATGCACCAGGCGGGGGGAGACGGGGCCAGAGGAGGGCTCAGCAGAGGCTCCTGCCCTGCCCTGAGTGTCCCAGGGACCTGATGGCCACCCACGGGGAAACCCCTTGTTCCCCATCCCTGTTTCCTCTGTCATGGAACTCCTCCATTCTCAGTCTGTAGCAGGTAACAGGATTATCCTGTCTCTAATGTCTTTAGCCACCCAGCTTTTGAGTTCCCAGAAGATACTTCTTCCCCCGTGACCTGTAAGCATCTCACGAAATACAAGCTATATTCTTATAAAGCCTCTTGTCCCCTGCATGGAGAGATCAGACTGAAGAAGTGAGACTCTCTGGGCGCTGGTGACGGCATCTTGTGGTGCGGGTGCCGGCAGGGGGTAGGAGGCAGGGAGAGCTTTCTGCCGGCAAGGCAGGCAGCTTGCAGAAGAGCTGGGGTTTGTCTCATGAAGGCTGAGCCCAGTGCTGCGCTGGGGAAGGAGGTTTCTGCCCACGCTGGGTAACCAAGGGAGCTCCGGGCGGTTACGGTCTCTGCAGGGGGCTGCCGAGCTGTTCACGGTTATTCACAGGATGATTTAAGACCGTGGGGTGTAAAATGCCACCTACCTGCCCACGCTGCAAAGGTCAGCAGCCCCTCTGAGTAGGCCCCGGGGGGTACCAGGCTGATGACACTGATAACAAGGACTGGATCCTTCTCTGTGGTCCCACCAGCTTTGGCTGGCTCCCCCCTGCAGAAGTCTGGTTTCCAGCATCCCGCAGGGCGGCTGGGCTGGCAGCAGGAGATGCCGCGACATTCACAGGGTTTGCTTCAGTGGGATGGAGTCAGCTCTGAGGCATCCCGCTCCGCTCATCGCCGCTCTAACAGGCGCTTTGTTCCCCAGGGAGAGTGTGAGGCTGTCGAGGTCTCGCTGCTCTGGGCTGACTCCTTCTTGCTTGGGAGGGCAGGCTCAGCAGAGCAGATCCAAACAGAGACAGCTACAACGCGTGTGATCCTGGTGGCGGGGCTCCAGCGCTCCCAAACCAGCCCCGACTGCCCCTTCTCTGCTTCGGCGAGGGGTAGCCCGAGCCAGTCCCCCCAGGGTGATGGGAGACCGAGGGGAGCATTGGTCCGTGCTGGGCACAGCGGCTCTCGCGCTTCATGGAGGTGACCGAGGGTGGGCAGGAGGTGGCATGGGTGACCCCAGCCTCGCATAAGGAAATGCTCAGGCATGATCCGGGAGCGTGGAGAAGAGCCAGGATCCTTTCTGGCCTAGAGAGCTGTCAGAAATATTTTCAAGAAAAATACCAAGTTATTGAAAATACTAATGAAAAACTGAAAAAAGTTGTGTTTCTTTTTTGTATTTTCTTTCTAATTTTATTTGTTCTTAAAGAAGAGCTTCAATAAACCACATAGAACTTTCTTTCACAGAAATCCTGCTTCCCAGCACCTTCCCTCCAGAGGATGAGGCAGGACTGGTAGCCAGCCTCCCATCAGAGGCCAGGCGGAGGCTGATGGGGCACAGAGCTCACCCTCCCGCTTGGCACCAAGGCTCCCTGGCACTGGAGCTGTGTTCCCATAGCTCCGAAGGCAGGGGAGAAACTCCCCCGGCCCCTTTCTGTGCAGCTGGATTTTCTTTTCTTCAGCTGGGTTTGAAAGACTGTTTTATTTCTGGCCCTTTATGGAGGTGTTGGTGAAAACATGTCATCTGTTGGCTTTTCCAGAAAGGCAGGGAAATGTACTGTGCTTTCCAGCTCTGCCGCATAGCTAACGAAGGAGTGGGAGCACTTTGAGAGAGGAGAGACTGTGCGCTGGCTGCCGAGGTGGGGAGCCCTGCCTTCCCTCCTGCCCCTCCGGCAGGTGAGGGGCTCGGGATTTTCGCTCTGGAACTTGGAGGGCAGGTGGAAAGGTCTGCTCGGACCCAAAGCAAACGTGGTCAGCCAGCCCTCGGGAGATGTGGGAGCCGCGTGCCGTGCAGACCGCAGGCTGGGTGCTGTGGTTGCTAGCTTTGGCTCTTCTCCGGTGGGTCAACAGACATTTCCATTCCCCTGGTGTCTGTTTGCTTCAACAAGGCAAAGCCCTCAAATAACGACTGGGTTTGTATTGCCACGTTTTTGGCAGGGAGAGGCCAGATCCTGAAACATTCGCCCTCAAGTTGTGGCCAGGGCTTGTTGCAGAGGTGGCAGAAAGCACGGCGGAGGGGTGGTCTGGGTTTGAGCGGCTGGGGCCTTCGCCTGCAGAGTGGCATGGGGGTCTGGCTGGGCTGGAAGAGCCATGGCATGGCATGGCTGGGGTGGAAGAGCCATGGCATGGCATGGGATGGGTGGGGGCGCGCCCGG